CACAGATGACGCAATCTCAATTGCACTCCACACTGCCCTTTCCCACATGGACAAAAGGAACTCCTACAGTGCATTCGGAAAGTATTCAGACCCCTTGACCTTTTCCACATTTTGTTACAGCCTTATTCTAAAATGGATTAAATAAATAAAAATCCTCAATCTACACACAATACCCCATAATGACAAAGTGAAAACAGGTTTAGATATTTTAGCTAATTTATCAAAATTTTAAAAAAAACTTATTTACATAAGTATTCAGACCCTTTGCTAGGAGACTCAAAATTGAGCTCAGATCCATCCTGTTTCCATTGATCATCCTTCAGATGTTTCTACAACTTGATTGGAGTCCACCTGTGGTAAATTCAATTGATTGGACATGATTTGGAAAGGCACACACCTGTCTATATAAGGTCCCACAGTTGACAGTGCAAGTCAGAGCAAAAACCAAGCCATGAGGTCGAGGGAATTGTCCATAGAGCTCCGAGACAGGATTGTGTTGAGGCACATATTTGGGGAAGGGTACCAAAAAAAATTCTGCAGCATTGAAGGTCCCCAAGAACACAGTGGCCTCAATCATTCTTAAATGGAAAAAGTTTGGAACCACCATGACACTTCCTAGAGCTGTCCGCGCTGCCAAACTCAGCAATCGGGGGAGAAGGGCCTTGATCAGGGAGGTGACCAAGAACCCGATGGTCACCCTGACAGAGCTCCTCTGTAGAGATGGGAGAACCTTCCAGAAGGACAACCATCTCTGCAGCACTCCACCAATCAGGCCTTTATGGTAGAGTGGCCAGATGGAAGCCACTCCTCAGTCAAAGGTATATGAAAGCCCTCTTGCAGTTTGCCAAAAGGAACCTAAAGAGAAACAAGATTCTCAGACCATGAGAAACAAGATTCTCTGGTCTGATGAAACCAAGATTGAACTCTTTGGCCTGAATGCCAAGCGCCACGTCTGGAGGAAACCTGGCACCATCCCTACGGTGAAGCATGGTGGTGGCAGCATCATGCTGTGGGGATGTTTATCAGCGGCAGGGACTGGGAGACTAGTCAGGATTGAGGGAATGATGAACGGAGCAAAGTACAAAGAGATATTTGATGAAAACCTGCTCCAGAGCTCTCAGGACCTCAGACTGGGTTGAAGGTTCGCCTTCTAACAGGACAACAACCCTAACCACACAGCCAAGACAACGCAGGAGTGGCTTCGGGACAACCGACTAACCTGTTCCTACGCACATTGACTCGGTACCGGTACCTGTTATTGTTATTTTATTGTGTTACTTTTTATTTTATACTTTAGTTTATTTAGTAAATATTTTCTTAACTATTTCTTGAACTGCATTGTTGGTTAAGGGCTTGGAAGTAAGCATTTCAAGGTAAGGTCTACACCTGTTGTATTCGGTGTATGTGACAAATAAAATTTGATTTGATTTAACATGGAGATTCTCACAACAAGGCAAGAAATAAAATAATGCTATGATTGTGATATTTGTTTTAACCGTTTAGGTGATAGTCACTGATAAACCAACACTTAGGTTCTAAGATCTAATTGCCAAATACAAATATTTTTGTTTTGGAACAGTGATATACAACTCCTGTGGGAAGACTTGCGTCACGTTCGCCATATGACGTCACTCTCAAAGGTTGATTTACAGTTGAAGTCAAAATGATATCATTCCTCTGATTGTGTCAATGTTATATGTAATGTTGCACTTCTCAAATCGCAAACGTTTCTAACAGTGTTACATAGTTGATATGACAGAGATCGAAAATGTGGTGCCTTGCTTGCTGAGGATTTCCTACTTAAACTCATACCCGACAGTGACGTTTGGTTTCTTCAACAACATCTGTTCTTTTGGTTTCAATAAGCTATTTTGCATTATGCAAAAACCACGAACTACGTGAAATGTTTACCACCATATCCGCTATCGATGTCGTTGTTCAATCTTCAAATGAATTTGCAAATAGAAATCTCCTTCAACTTCTCTCTGAAACTCAAACACAGTAGCCTACAGACTCACAAGTCAAAACAAATGTGATTTTCATTGCTTGGTAGCCTAAACACATTTTAAGTTTAACTTCAGTAACGCTTCAACACAAAACTAGTGTGGAAGTCATCTCCGAACCATCTAAAGAAATATCTCACTTCAGATAAGCAACAACGCGCTTCCCAATGGTAAACCTAAACTGACATTATGGATTATAGCATATATTTCAACTATCTGCACAAAAATACACTTCTATACTAAAAAAATACATCTATTGTAAGTTACTCTCCATAACTTACCGTAAATTGAAGTCCCATAAATGTAAACTGCTATGTCAGGACCTTCGGATTCGTGAATCGGCAATGTAACAGCACTGCCGCCATGTTCCTCTGCGATGACTGGGTGCTTGTTTATCTTACCCATAGTCCTCCCCCACACGCGCAGCGCAACAGCCCTCATTACCACAATGGACTTTGCTTCTCACAGAACAGACGGCCAGAATAATGACACTGCAGCCAGCCGTTGCAGCTAAAAGGCAGACAGACCCATGTATCAATGCGGCCGGTTAAAGTTTGTTAACCACAACTAAAGAGGATGTTTACAATGTATTTTTTCAAAACTTTAATAGGTTGACCCTGCTGCGCTTACTCAGAATTGTTTTAAAGTCATATTTCTTCCTTCAAGGTTAAATTTAAATAAAGACACGTTACATTTTGGAGTCTTTAAGATGTAGGCTACCAACAAACTCCATTTTATTTAGGCACAAATTTAATTTGAGTAAAAAAGTGTGCTTACTCTTCAGGTTTGTACTTGATGTTAGGCTTTGTATTTGCCATGCAGCCCAAGCTACCCACACATGAATATAAGTAAGACTCAATTAACAAGCCTCTACACAAACACAGTAAGATAGTGCCTCTCTTCACATTAGGAATTGTGTCTCTATGGCATGGTAAAAATGCCTCAGGCAGATGTTCAAATGGCTCACAAATCATCTTCTCTGTCCAAACCATAAAGATAAATATAGGATTCTAGTGCCCAAAAGCCAGTTTTAGCATGGGCAGTGCCATTGAGGCCTTTCACCATTTTTAAGTAGTCAACTGGGTTGGACTTCCTATGGGTTAAGGAAATATCACATAATTCCATCCAGGTCATCAGGAGGGATCAGCCAATTAATTATACTCGTGAGCAAACATTCCATAACTCCAGGTGGCAGTAAATTGCCAACCTTGGCTTTATACGTGTTCAAACAACACAATCCAGGTGGCAGCATGCACCCTTTCCGTTTGTTTACCAACTCATAGAAGCAGTAGAGGACAAAAATGTACTACTTCAAAATGGAGATGGCTTCAATGGTGCTGGCTATGCTCACAAAGACATCAGGGGACAGATTCAAACTAGCTCTATATTCCAAACCCTCCATAGAATTGATAGGCTACTTACTTCACCCGTGTCTGCCTTTATAGTGGCCACAGCCACTTATTCATTGTCCACACCTGCTGTTGATAAAATAAATTGTTGCTAATTAATGTGCTTCCATTAAATGAAGACTGTTTAGGCAAGGTAAAGGGTTTGTACATTTTGAAAGAGGAACTCATGTAGATATTTATCTGCCTATTGTTATACTCGTTTCAAGCTTTTTACAAGTATTTTACATATTTTAAATCTCCATCCTGTAAATATAATATTGATCTGTTTTGAGGAATTTGGGGGATCTAGTACCATACATTTCATAGGGCAGAATCAAGAGCAGCCAATCATTGCATTGGTTGCCTATTACAGTTTCAAAATCACAAGTCAGTAGTACATTCAAAAGCCACCCATGGAAGGCAATTGGTAATATCCAAATGTTGTCGCTTGTTGAGTGGTTCGCTGCTTGTGGCCTAAATGCAAAATCTATGACATTATGGGTTGACATTCTAACAAGGTCAGTTCCGGTCTATTTAACGGGGTGGGTCTCCCATAGTCACCAATGCAATAGCAGCTGGGTCTGGTCTACTTAGTTAATTGACTTTCATTGAACCAGAAAAAAACATTGAGTGGGGTGTCTCTTGCTTCCACTTCCGTCTCTGATTCTACTCCCCTCCTCATTTTCCAGTTCGGTTATTCTTTCTTTGATAAACACTGCCACCTAGTGAGTATTTCGCAGAGTGACGTTAGTACATGTATTAGCATTGATCAATGGTCCCCATACAGGGTTTAAATTGCACAATCAGCAAACGGCAATTAATGATAGAGTTAGAACGTTCAGTAGCGTTTTGTTCTTATATTGAAAAACTATACATTTATTAGGCATCTGTTCATTTTACATTAAGGATTCATATAGTTTGATCTTGGTTTTTCAATAGGAAAATCAGTGTGATCTTGGTTGAAAATGAACTCTCTGCACAGGGTTTAAATGTATATGTGCTTATCTTGAGTTCAGCTGTCCATAGGCACATACTGAAGTTCAAATGATGTCTTGAAATGTCCAAAGCTCATTTGTGTGTTGCACAAGGAAATCCAAGATCTCAAGTGTCCTTTGTCGAATTAAAGTGTGGATCACAAATTACCCTTCCATTTATTGGTGTGAGAAGATTAATCACTGGCTGAAAGACAATTGGAGACAAAATTGTAAACATCTAGAACATCAAATCAAATAGTGTAACATAAGAGGACGTAATGTAAGTGACAGAAATTAAGACGCACCAACAGTTATCTTCCCATCCTTCTCAAATTTCTTAAGGTAATGCACAAGGTTCACCTCTGCTGCTTTGTGCAGACATTAAAGTGTCTCCTTTTGCAGAAAAGTAAATGTTACAAAGTAAGATATAAAGTAGAGTATAGCACATGAATACACAGATTTGTAAATGTTCATTTCTATAGGCCAAGCAGTGTTTGTAGGTTTTGAATGACTTAACATTCTTTGGTCAGCATCTACACATACTGTTTATAAATCTTACAGTTGCCAATGGAGGATCATAACTTTAAGTTACAATTCCCACACCTTGTAGACGACTTTGACCAGTTCCATAGAAGTCAATGTGTTCCCTTTCGGCTGCCTGGAGGACACTGTTGCTCTCTGAGGTTTCTATGGCTGATGTAATGCTGGATCTTAGAAGCGGCATCTTGGACCACAGGGCCATGACCTGCAGATATTAGTTAAGGAAGAAATGAATGACTCTTGTAGAATATGTTTTTGTGTTAAGTTCTATACATACAGTGCCTTCAGAAAGCATTCATACCCCTTGACTTATTCCACAATTGTTGTGTTACAGCCTGAATTCAAAATGGATGAAATATATTTTTTTCTCACCCATTTCCACACTATACCCCATAATGAGAAAGTGAAAACATGTTTTTAGACATTTTTGCAAATACAAATGAAAATGAAACACAGAAATATCTCATTTACATAATATAAGTATTCACACCCCTGAGTCAATACCTTTGGCAGTGATTACAGCTGTGAGTCTTTCTGGGAAAGTCTGAGCTTTGCACACCTGGATTGTTCAATATTTGCACATTCCTTTTCAAATTCTTCATGCTCTGTCAGGTTGGTTGTTGATCATTGCTAGACAGCCATTTTCAAGTCTTCCATAGATTTTCAAGGCGATTTACACTGAACAAAAATATAAACGCAACACGTAAAGTGTTGGTCCCATGTTTCATGAGCTGAAGTAAAAGATCCCAGAAATGTTCAATATGCACAAAAAGCGTATTTCTCTCAAATGTTGTGCACAAATTTGTTTGCATCGCTGTTAGTGAGCATTTCTCCTTTGCCAAAATAAACCATCCACCTGACAGGTGTGGCATATCAAGAAGCTGATTAAACAGCATGATCTTTACACAGGAGCACCTTGTGCTGGGGACAATAAAAGGCCACTCTAAAATGTGCAGCTTTGTCACACAAAACAATACCACAGATGTCTCAAGTTTTATGGGAGCGTGCAATTGGCATGCTGACTGCAGGAATGTCCACCAGAGCTGTTGCTGAATTGAATGTTCATCTCTCGTCGTTTTAGAGAATTTGCCAGTACGTCCAACCGCCCTCACAACCGCAGACCACATGTAACCACGCCAGCCCAGGACCTCCACATCCGGCTTCTTCACCTGCGGGATCATCTGAGACCAGACACCCGGACAGCTGATGAATCTGTGGGTTTGCACAACTGAAGAATTTCTGCACAAACTGTCAGAAACAGTCCCAGGGAAGCTCATCTTTGTGCTCGTCATTCTCACCAGGGTCTTGCCCTGACTGCAGTTCGGCGTCATATCCGACTTCAGTGGGCAAATGCTTACCTTCGATGGCCACCGGCACACTGGAGAAGTGTGCTCTTCACGGATGAATCCCGGTTTCAAATGTACCGGGCAGATGGCAGGCAGCTTGTATGGCGTCATGTTCTACAAACATAATTCCACTTTGACATTATGGGGTATTGTGTATAGGCCAGTGACACACATCTCAATTCAATGCATTTTAAATTCAGGCTGTAACACAACAAAATGTGGAAAAATTAAAGGGGTGTGAATACTTTCTGAAGTCACTGTAGCTAATGTGAACTAGCCATTTGAAGGTGTGACTGACAGTAGAATTTATGTAATGTAATGTGTCTTTTCTAATGGATGATTTCCATGCATTTTTTGTGCACTTTGCACTCAATTATACCATTCAGTGTTTCAGAGTTAACCAACCTGGGTATATTAGGTCAGCCTGTGAGTCCAACAGGATTTGCTGAGATTTCATATAGTCATAGAGATCTTCAAACACGGCAGTTCCCTCCCCTAGAATACAATCTCCTGAGAAGTTGGTCTTCTCCTCCTCCAACATGAGGGCCATATGGTCATCTGTGTGTCCTGGGGTGAACAGGACCCTGCACAGACAGACAGACAGCCATTCTCAGACTGTGGATGAGACACTGCACAGACAGACACAGAGACAGACATACAGACAGACACACCGACACACATGACACTGGCTTGGGCCAATATATTAGTTAAAAGGGCATATGCATGCACATACTACTTGCTCATAGTAACACTAGACAATCAACTCACTTCCGTGTGGCCCCCTCTGTCTCTATGACATCTCCATGCTTCAGGTAAGAGTACGTCTTACTTTCTCCTATTCTTCCGTCAGTTGGGGGAGAGCGAGGAAGTTTGCTGATTTATAACTCCGAACCTGCATGGGAAAATAAAAGCACATCGGCCTCTAGCTCTGGTCCAGGGCATTACGCTTGCTGACACAGAGGCTCAGTCTCAGCAAGCCATAGGTTACGCCCTAAACTAGAGCTATCTCTGTAGAGCTTAAGCAATGTCAAACTGGAGCTGACAAAATGACAGAGAAGCCTATCCTCAGGTGTCACTCTCACTTCCAGTGATGTCCCTGCAGATGTCTGTCACTCCACCTGTATGGTGGTGAAGCCAATGGGTGACAATGATCTCCTGGATGGCAGTGTTGAACTGACACAAGGCTTGTTTGAACCTGCTGATGTACTCAGGGACAGCATGTTCTCCTGTGTCTATCAAAACTCGTCTGAAAACAAGAAGTACAGTACTTCATTCATGCAGCTTGACACTTTTGTGTAATTTCAATATCCACACAAACAATAGCTGCCGACAATCTTACCACATTTGAGCTAGCCCATTCATAGCCGCTAACTACCTTTAGCGCCTATTGACAATAGTATCTTCTGGTAAGGGGTGTTTTGTTAAGAGCCCTGACGCTCATTATGAATATTAAAACGCATCGCTTGCAGTACGGTTTTGGAAACATAAGGAACTGAAATCAGCAATAAATAATTGTCTAAAAACATAAGGTTAAATTACTGCACACCTTTATAGGGTTAGAGTTCCCACAGCATGTTTACTGACAAAATAGGAAGACAGAAGCGTACCTGTGCTAATTAGCTATCTGAGTCTGTGTGTAAATGTAAGTAGAACGTGTTGTCACTGAAAAATACTGTCGCCTTCAACTGTGTAAAAAATGGTTAAAACAGCGTACAGTAAGTGTATATTTTGCATTTGTGAAATTATTTAGACATGACATGAAAGTAGAGAGCTTTAGCTATGTTCATAGAACTGTTCAGCAATTGAGAATCTATTCACATTTAGATGTAGCCAATTAAACAACTGGAGTTGGGCGGTGACTAGTGTGGGCGGACTGGACCTCCGACATCACATAAAATGAAGTTATCAAAAACTACTGATTTCAGCACCCAAAGAATTGCCCGCAATCACACGACATTGTTCTGTGTAATTGCGCGCTATTCTTTGGGTGCTAAAATAAGTAGTTTTTGATTAAATTAAGTTATGTTACTTCGTAGCTCCAGTGCGCCCACACTAGTCACGCTCAACTCCATCGTGGAGTTAAGTTTAGTCGGCTAGTTTAGATGGAGTATTTGTCTGTTTTGGCTGCCAGAGCCAATTCGCCTCTAAACAGAACATGTAAGGTCCTTGGACTATAAGGAGTAATGGTAGGCTAATTTAGTCCATTATTGGCAGTGATGTAAAGTACTTAAGTAAAAATACTTTAAAGTACTACTTAAGTCGTTTATTTGGGTATCTGTACTTTACTTCACTATTTATATTTTTAACAACTTTTATTTTTACTTCACTACATTCCTAAAGAAAATAATGTACTTTTTACTCCATACATTTTCCCTGACACCCAGAAGTACTTGTTACATTTTGACAGGAAAATGGTCCAATTCACGCACTTATCAAGACAACATCCCTGGTCATCCCTACTGCCTCTGATCTGGTGGACTCACTAAACACAAATGTTTTGTTTGTAAATTAATGTTAGAGTGTTGTAGTATGCCCCTGGCTATCCTGGTTTGCAAAATATAAGGAATTTGAAATTAATAATACTTTTACTTTTACTTTTGATACTTAAGTAAATTTGAGCAATTCCATTTACTTTGATACTTAAGTATATTTATAACCAAATACTTTTAGACTTTTACTCAAGTAGTATTTTACTGGGTGACTTTAACTTTTACTTGAGTCATTTTCTATGAAGGTAACTTTGCTTTTACTCAAGTATGACTTTTGAGTACTTTCTCCACCACTGATTATTGGGCTACATTAAACCAACCAGAGAGGATGGAACCCTCCTTGCTACAATAGCACCTGGAAAGCCTCACATGAGCCGATGCTATCCAAGAGGGGCAAGCGCGGCTAGCAACTGTAATACATTTTACAAAATGCGAATCCCCTTTCCCCTTTCCAACTAAATATGTATTGGTTTCTTGTAGTGTCATTGGACGGACCAAGGTTGCATGCCAGAATTCACACAACTCTGGAAGACAACTGCTCGATATGAGGGAGTATGGCAGTCATGGTGCGGCTTGCTGCAAAACAACCAGGTTAGAATATACATCTCAATGTAAATTCAAAGGCCTGTGTGCAATAGGAAAAGGTGTGGCAAAAGACACTGAAGATTAACCTAGAAATTAGCTTTGAACTTGTAAATAAACATTCACTCAGTGGAAGATTACTTCCTGTATAACGTATCGCCTCGTTTTCAAAATAAAAGTATCGTGGGGGAAAAAAGGCACAATCTGGTAGGTGGGTCAGTAGATGGAGCCATTGTCATCTTATTCAGAGATATGTGTGCAGTCTAGACTTAGTTCCATAAGTCTTCATTAGTATGTTTTAGAATTATCCTGCAACAGGATAATAAGATGAAAAACAAATTTGCGTTTATCTCTGAAAAAAAAAGAATAACATAAAAAGAATGTTGGGTTATAAATAAAAGTTGTGTTTGTGTGAGCTTTTGGTTTTCCCATCTTAAAACTGTCCCTGGGTTTGTCCAGCCCACAGAGCTAGAATTATTATATTTTTATGGTTTAGCCTCTCTAAGTGGATTAACTAGTGTTCTTTAGAATGAGTAAAGTCAGATGATTTTTGTCTGCTAGATAGACAGTCTCAATATGCTATAGGAAATAGATACATTTCTTACAGGCTTTAACAACAATTTCCATTTATTTTGTCTTTGCAGTTCCCCTACATTATTCCCCTTATTGTCAGTAGGCTCATGCACAACATAAAGAACAGCATGATCTTTTATGAAGCGGATTGACTAGAGGATTTATTTTATTCATTCTATTACGCCCTTAGTGCATCATGAGAAATACTGCATGCATTACAACACAACAGGATCTATACATTCAAATGAATCCATAACACTGAGATAAAGATGCAGCCATGAATCATACAATGGGGCCAACAATCCATCCCACTGAATGCTGTGTTTTGATATTTGTCTCATAAATTGTGACCTATAAAAATGGCTGCTTGGTCTATATAATATTTACAGGAGCGTTGAGAGGTAACAGAGACCTTTCCTAAATGAAATGGATCCTGCCATCTGAGCATTAGGGCCCTTTACTTCTCCTCTCTCCCTCTGTAATTACAACAAAATGGCTGTGCAATCTGCCTGTAATCTAACATTATAATCACTGCTTTCCCTTCCTTCCCTCCGCACCTCACTCTCTCCACTGCCGCTAATTCAATATAAATGTAATTGACTGAGAGAAAGAAAGGAGAAAATAAATATAGAAGTTACATTTTTATTTACATGCCTAATCACAATAAATTGTTCTGTGTGAATTTCTGTGAAAAATAAATGGGGTAGTAGAAAGCTCCATTGGTTAAAGCATTTTGTTACACAAATCCATTACACTGCCCTTGTTATAGCCCTACAGAAGCATAGTGCTATTCAGACATTAACCCAGAAAAGAAAATGACCCAGAAAAAAATATAATAGAATCCTTCATAATTCATAAAAAGAAGAAATATAATGGCACTAATTTTATCATAATTTATTATTCAAAATGCTAAAAGATTGGTGTAATTACGTTTCCCATTTAGAAACTTAATTTACCAATGGATTAAATGGAGAGAGAGAGAGAGAGAGAGAGAGGGAGAGAGAGATAGAGAAGCAGAGAGAGAGAGAAGCAGAGAGAGAGAGAGAAAGAAGGAGAGAAGCAGAGAGAGAGAGAAAGAGAAGCAGAGCGAGAGAGAGAAGCAGAGAGAGAGAGAGAAAGAGAAGCAGAGAGAGAGAGAGAAGCAGAGAGAGAGAGAGAGAGAGAGAGAGTGAGAAGCAGAGAGAGAGAGAGAAGCAGAGGAACCAGCTCATTGGACCGAGACACCGGTTGTTAATAATGTATGACCAAGCAGGTGTAGCAGGATGAGTTTTAAATATGGATCATAGATAACAGCCATTTTAGGATCGATGCCTGATGTGTAATCTCTCCCCCGTCCTTCAACACTTTGCTGCAATCTACACCCATTAATCTTTTATGGAAGCAGACAGTCGTGAGGATGCTGAGTCACAATCATCTATTCAATATCCCGCTTTGAGTGTGTTGTTATCAAAGTGTTATTATCCAAACACAGCCTCCAGTTTGCCTATGTATCTCTTAGAATATTCTGACTGCACTCCATATATTGGCTGTTTACTGTTTCATCATTCAGAATCCTTGTATTCAAGCAAGATGCCACCATTTATTTAACTCCACCCTGTCAGTCCTGAGTCCTTTCAAATAGAGAGAAAAGCAACGAGGTATGTATGAGCCATGAGTGCAGCTAAGGACTGTTCCGGTCAAAGTTGTGATACAATTTTCTGTGCATGTGCATCAACCCTGCTTGAAATGTGTCAATATTTTCTGTCCCATGGCATCCTTTGTCCCTGTCCCAACCCTGTATGATGAAGGAGGCTTGACTTGTTACTACCCCTCTTGCTGTGGTGAAGCTTCTTGTACTTTAGTCTACGGATACATCCCAAATGGCACCCTAAGTAGTGCATTATATAGGGAAAAGGGTGCAATTTGGGATGCAGTCTTAAAATATGTTGTTCTTAAAAGTCATATGGGGAGACTGATGAGAGTGTTGAAAGGCAGAAGGGACTTCAACACATTCTGATGCGAGATACAAAATATACACTGGGTATACAAAAAATTAGGAACACCTACTCTTTCAATGACATAAACTGACCAGGTGAATCCAGATGAAAGCTATGATCTGTTATTGATGTCACTTGTTAAATTCACTTCAATCAGTGTGGATTTAGGGGAGGAGACAGGTTAAAGAAGGATTGCCTTGAGACAATTGAGACATGGATTGTGTATGTGTTCAGAGGGTGAATTGGCAAGACAAAAGATTTATGATAGTAGCTGCCAGGCACACCGTTTTGAGTGTGTCAAGAACTGCAACGCTGCTGGGTTTTTCACGCTCAACAGTTTCCCGTGTGTATCAAGAATGGTCCACCACCCAAAGGACAGCCAGCCAACTTGACACAACTGTGGGAAGCATTGGAGTCAACGTGGGCCAGCATCCCTGTGAAACGCTTTCGACACCTTGTAGAGTCCATGCCCCGACGAATTGAGGCTGTTCTGCGGGCAAAAGGGGGTGCAACTCAATGTATATAACACAGTGGGATTGACAATTTACACCAGCAATGAAAGGGCATGATGCTATTGAGCTGTCCCACTACCTTGGCCACAGCATCGTATCAATATTGCTAGCCAAAATCAATATGATGTGTATAACAAGGCTTTGCATGAGATATGTGGGCAGACAGACTTAGGTTTCAGCCCAAATGGCACCCTATTCCCTATATGGTGCACTACTTTTGACCAGGCTTGACCAGAGCCTGGTCAAAAGTAGCGCACTATATAGGGAATAGGGTGCCATTTAGGACATAACCAGACTCAGTTAGCCTACCTTACCTTACTCTACCACATTAGCATTCTCAATGTTTCCCTGTCTGACCGCTGCTGGCTCTTCATTAGAGTGGAGGGTTAGCTAGATATTGCTTAATTTGTTTTGTCAGCAGGAATACATTAAATCCGGTCACACCAAGAGACAATGAGACCCTTTGTAAAAACCTATTCAAGTGTATTGATTTTCCACACTGAATAAAACCTCCATTTGATTGTACTTGAGAGAGCTGCTGTTTGGGTACTGCTGTTGAATTTCCAGACCTCATCATGTCCATCTGCTCATCTCTTTCCTTCTCCATGCTGCTCCTCAATTACCATAGTCTTTTATAACTGCTTGACTACAGAAGCTGCTTGTACTGAACACAACCTCCTGACAGTTAGATAAATTTAGCTTTTGAGCATACTGCTATATCATTGTAATATTCAATATTGTATGTTGTGATAGCTCCATGTTGTCTGAAAAAGTTAAATGTAGGCTATAGTACTATGGTTTCATTCTTGTTGCATGTGCAGAAGATCCAACATCTCATTTTAAACATATTCTTGGACCCGATTGTATTGTTGTTATCAGTTGTTAAAAGTTGCTGTCAAGGAGATTCACACTCCTTTCATATGTGCAGGTACCAACTGCCATGTTGGGTCCTTTTGTCTGTTTGAATAATTCAAAACAGTGTTGAAACAAGGGGTGGATGTGAGAGATTGTTACTCAGCAGCTTGTATCCCCTCAGGACTAAATTACAACTGTTCCATTTGCCAATATGCTGATTCACGGCAGGCTCGTGTCTCAGGCTGATCTGGACCGGAGCCAACTAGGGGAAAACTGTCAGACAGCGGCAGGAAACTGCTGATTAATCTAAGCAGTCATGGAGAAAAACAATCCTGAGTGAGTGATTGAGTGAGTGAGAGAGAGAAATTGAATATCCTGAAGTGCGACCACGTACCATTGCTATATTGTTAATAGAAGAGGAGCACAGACTGAGGTGTTGAGACATACAGTTGAAGTCAGAAGTTTACATACACCTTAGCCAAATACATTTAACTCAGTTTTTCACAATTCCTGACATTTAATGCTAGTAAAGATTTCCTGTCTTAGGTCAGTTAGGATCCCCACATTATTTTAAGAATGTGAAATGTCAGAATAATAGTAGAGAGAATTATTTATTTCAGCTTTTATTTCTTTCATCACATTCCCAGTGGGTCAGAAGTTTACATACACTCAATTAGTATTTGGTAGCATTGCCTTTAAATTGTTTAACATGGGTAAAACGATTCAGGTAGCCTTCCACAAGCTTCCCACAATAAGTTGGGTGAATGTTGGCCCATTCCTCCTGACAGAACTGGTGTAATGAGTCAGGTTTGTAGGCCTCCTTGCTCGCACACGCTTTTTCAGTTCTGCCCACAAATGTTCTATAGGATTGATGTCAGAGCTTTGTGATGGCCACTCCAATACCTTGACTTTGTTGTCCTTAAGCCATTTTGCCACAACTTTGGAAGTATGCTTGGGGTCATTGTCCATTTGGAAGACCCATTTGCGACCAAGCTTTAACTTCCTGGCTGATGTCTTGAGATGTTGCTTCAATATATCCACATAATTTTCCTTCCTCATGATGCCATCTATTTTGTGAAGTGCACCAGTCCCTCCTGCAGCAAAGCACCCCCACAGCATGATGCTGCCACCCCCATGCTTCACGTTTGGGATGGTGTTCTTCGGCTTGCAAGCAACCCCCTTTTTCCTCCAAACATAAGAATGGTCATTATGGCCAAACAGTTCTATTTTTGTTTCATCAGACCAGAGGACATTTCTACAAAAAGTAAGATCTTTGTCCCCATGTGCAGTTGCAAACCGTAGTCTGGCTTTTTTATGGCGGTTTTGGAGAAGTGGCTTCTTCCTTGCTGAGCGGCCTTTCAGGTTAGGTCGATATAGGACTCATTTTGTTGTGGATAGAGATACTTTTGTACCTTTTCCTCCAGCATCTTAACAAGGTCCTTTGCTGTTGTTCTGGGTTTGATTTGCACTTTTTGCACCAAAGTACGTTCATCTCTAGGAGACAGAACGTGTCTCCTTCCTGAGTGGTGTGACGGCTGCGTGGTCCCATGGTGTTTATACTTGCGTACTATTGTTTGTACAGATGAACGTGGTACCTTCAGGCATTTGGAAATTGCTCCCAAGGATGAACCAGTCTTGTGGAGGTCTACTATTTTTTTTCTGAGGTCTTGGCTGATTTCTTTTGATTTTCCCATGATGTCAAGCAAAGAGGCACTGAGTTTGAAGGTAGGCCTTGAAATACATCCACAGGTACACCTCCAATTGACTCAAATGATGTCAATTAGCCTATCAGAAGCTTCTAAAGCCATGACATCATTTTCTGGAATTTTCCAAGCTGTTTAAAGGCACAGTCAACTTAGTGTTTGTAAACTTCTGACCCACTGGAATTGTGATACAGTGAATTAATTATAAGTGAAATAATCTGTCTGTAAACAATTGTTGGAAAAATGACTTGTGTCATGTACAAAGTAGATGTCCTAACCGACTTGCCAAAACTATTAACAAGAAATTTGTGGAGTGGTTGAGAAACGAGTTTTAATGACTCCAACCTAAGTGTATGTAAACTTCCGACTTCAACTGTAAATTGCTGCCTTGTGAAATCCCAAAAGCTAGGTCAAAGACTGTGCACCACACGGAACCTGGCAAGGATCCATGGCAGCGTTCTACATGTGAAGAATCAGACATATGAACATTGAACTGAAGTAATAGGAAAAGACTGATCTATTCTATGCTAGGACAGGTTATTGCATGGCTGGTTACCCAATCCATACCGCTTTTCATTCGTCCATGCCATACCATTCTGATGGGATTTTTCTCACCTGACTAGCACATTGAGTCATTACCTTTTAAAATAGAAAGGTGACTATTGTTGGCTAAGGGAAAATGATTAACTGAATTTGCAATTCAGATTTTTATCACATTTGTGAAAGTTTTAAATATTGAATATCTATAGGGCTCCAAAGTGTGATCCTTGCTGATTGCATAGATGTCAACAGCGAGACCCTATAATTTTAATTTAATCTGGAGATGATGATTCATTCTCCCTCATTTAGAACTATATATCTAGGTCCCAAATGGCTCCCTATGTAGTGTATAGGGCTCTGGTCAAAAGTAGTACAATATGTGGGGAATAGGGTGCCATTTGGGACATAGCCTATGTCTGTATATGATTCAGTGCAGTGTCCTTATTTCTAATAGCACATTGGGAGACCACCACCTGTCAGGGGACCTGCAGTTTTCTGATCTTGATCCAAATGAGCCGTGTGTCACCCAGTCGTCACACAGGCCTTGCTAGCCCTTTAATGGGGTCTCTACCCACACACTGTCTCATCTAGAATTGTTTCAATTACACGCTCTCTGAATTCTAATTTTAAAGAGCGTAATATTCCTCCCTACTTACACATTTTCAAAAAGCAAAGGGATGGTGGTACCGATGAGATCTGATGAAGTTCAATATCACTTTCAAATGTTTTTTTTTCTTTCTCTTCAGATAGGAACAGCAGTTTTAACTTTCTGGAGAAAGACAATCGAAAAACTGGTAAAACTAATTAGCTGCTGTTATATCTGTGTAATATCGCTGTAATTACTTAAGTAACATTTTACTCACATGTTATTTAGTTGCAGCTTTGTAATTACATAGTGGTGGAGTTCAACAGTTTTATTGGTTGACACAACTTGATATTCCCCCATGGGGCTCTGGTCAAAAGAAGTGGACTGAATAGGGAATAGGGTGCCATTTTGGACTTCACCAAAGTAATAGCACATTATCTGTAGCTGATGCCCTGGATGGGCAACACAGAATGTAAAACTACTTTTCTGTATCATGGACAAGCCCTTTAAATCACATTACAAACAACAACAAATCATCTGAGATGAAAACATCTGTGATAGATTGCCTGCTAGAGAATGGAGGCATGAATGAGCAGTGTTAGCTTTTGAAAGAGCAGGTAAGACTCACATTTTCATTTTTAGATTAAGCCAAATAATACATCTCTAGATAATACCCACCTCTGGCCAGGAAAGAGAAAGAAGCTGTTGTGTCTGTCAGATGCAAAGCCATATTGGATTCAGTCAAAGAAGTTAAAGTTAAATACAAGCTTTTCCCCCTCATCCAATAGAATGTCCCTGGACTGAATGTGGCCCAATTGTGGACTGATTGTGGCTTGATGAAATCCTGCAGGAAAAAGCTATCCTGAAGGAATTTAAAAGATCTTGCACATCCATGTACATTCCTGCAAGAGCCTGTAGGAGGACAACCACTAGGATGTATGATATAGTGTAAGATGCTAATTTCAATCTTTCCTGCAGGATTCTGGTGGGATTTCCTGAAAGATTCCTGCAGGACCTTTTTGTAAGGGAGAAATTAAATCGAAGCACATTATATAAAAAAAGATTCAGGGTTCCAAATGTCTGTGTGCTACTCTATACTAATAAAGAAACCTGAAGAAATGAGTCTACAGGTATTGGAGTATTTTTGCAATAGCAGAAAAAGTATAATATCCACTTTGCTTTCTGTAATCTTTAATAAGGTTAATGTTAACATGATAATGTTTTGATTGACATGGTCTACGTCATGACAGTTGTTATTATTATTGTCCAGCCTCTGTACCATAAGTATTTCTCCAACAAACATGGTATTTGGCTGTGTGTGTGTGTGTGTGTGTGTGTGTGTACCTGAGCAATAAACACAGAAAGGTTGTGGCTTAGTGGTATGTCCACACAGCTGGGGGAGAAAGGATACATAATTTTTCCCTCTCAGTTCCTTCCCTCTCTTTATTGGCTAAATTGGATCAGACATGCAGGTTCTTGATAGGGTGAGGGGGTGGTTGTTGCTGTTGCTAGGATTCTGTTGCTAGGATCACCGCTGTCGCTAGGCTCTGTAGAAAACTTAATGAATTATGGATGGTTGATTTTTCTCATAGAAGCCTCATCTGAAATGCAGATGAGCTCAATCCTCCCTCCCTCCCTCCCTCTCTTTCTTCCCTCTCTCCGCCCTCCGCTCCCTGCTTTCCCAATATACACACTTTATTCTGGGTTCATTAAAGGAATCTGGAGTTTGGAAATCGGGAGCCGGCCATTGTGTAAAGCCATTTGCCGCTGTCGGGACTCTAGAATATTGACATTCAATTCAATTCTAATGCAAACAGAGGTCAGAGGTGAATGTACAGTATTTGTTTTTTGGCTCTGGGAGGAAGGCATGGATGACGGCTCGGAACAATTCCCTCTGCCCCCCCCCCCAAATTACAGATTATT